CTTGATTAGGGGCTGGAGGAGGAAGAGCAGCATCTAGGCAAAGTTAAAGATAAACTGGGCCTTTTAGCAGGCTAAAGTAAATTTTACAATAGCCTCATTTAATTGACACAATGCAGACATGGGCTAGGCTGAGGTATTTTCTTATCTGGGGGATGTTCAAACATTCCAGGCCAGGTTACTCCTGGCTTTTTAGTTTTAACTAATCTTCACGGAAGAATGCTTATACGACCAGTTTGATATTTTACTTTAGAGAATTAATGTGACTCTGACTTTGCTGAATTGTTTAATATGGAGTTTTGGTAGGGGTCTTTTCCCAGAGGCCCCCACCCTACTCTGACTACACCCATGGTCCCTGTCTCAGAATCCCTGTGGCTAGTTATAAGTTAGTTACTCAGCTGCAGATTTCAAACCGAAATGACAGAAAGATACTAATTTCTAAATACAAGAAAATGCACTGTCAGTTCCCAGATCAAAGTAAAGAAACTTCGTTACCAAATAAAAATTACGAGAGATACCTAATGAAAAAGATTTTAATTTTAAAGGCGCTGCTTCCGGGCGGCCTCTCCCCAGGCGCGGGTCACACTTGAACGTCAGCCGGCCCGGCCCTCGCCGAAAAAACCCACACACAGCAAAACGCCCGCCGGCCTCCCCGTCTGCGCGGCCCCGGCCCGGGCGGCGGGAGCAGGACGGGGGCGCGACCCCGGGCCGAGCGGACGCGCGCCGCGGGACGTAGCAGCCACCCTCACAACCCGGGCCGGGACGGAGGAGCGGCGGCTCCGACGGGCCCCTCCCCACTGCCACGGCGAACTTGCACTGGGCGCACCTGCACCGCACCCTCCCTCCACGGGCGGCCCCTCCGGCGGAGCGCGTCAACTCCCGGCCCCGGCCGGGCCCGACGAGCCCACCACCCACGTCGGCCCCTTCCCGGCCCCGCGGACCACGCGCTGCCCGTCGAGCTACCTGCACGACCGCCCCCTCGTCCGGCTCCACCGCGCCCCATCCGGGTTTCGCCGCGCCCCGCGGCCACGTACCTTCCAGCCCGGAGGGCTGTCGCCGTCGCCTTCACCCCTTAAGTAGGGCCCGCTCTGGACCCTCCACTGCAGATCTGCGACAGCGGGAGCCGCTTCTCGGCCGAGCTCTCTGAAGTCCGTACGGGGCAGCGGCTCCAAGTCCGGGTCGAGCGCAGCCCTCCGCCCGCCGCGGGAGACACGAGAAAGGCGAGTACCGCACCGGGAGCCTAGCGGGTGCGAGGCGGCGGTCCGAGGCCGGGGCACGAGGTCGGTGCCGCCCCCGCATGCGCGCCGGGAGGATGGCGCAGCCGAGCACGGCGCGGGTCCATCAACATCTGGTCTTCGCAGGGCCCGCTGCGCGGACAGGACGGCACGGGCCGCTCCTGCCCGGGCCAGCGGACCGAAGCACGGAGAGAGCAGCCGAAGCTGCCTCGCCCGCTGCGCTCCAGACGCTACTGACTTGAATATAGCGGTAGCGGAGCCTACAGCTACTACGCAGCCGCAGGACTTACGCGCCTGCGCCCAATGACTGCCCGCCCTCGACTGACGGCCCTCACAGCCAATGAGCGCGCGGCGCTGGAAGACAGGTGTGTCTATTCCCTGCTGCTACCGTGGCCAACCCTCCCTTCCAGGACCCACCGAGACCTGGGGAGCCCTGTGAATCAGGCACTCAGGGGCTGCGATTTCCTTGTGCGGTTCCAGCCTTGCTCTAAATAACACCACACATTACCAGGCAGGAAGACAGGCCCTTCTACCTACCATGTGGTATGAACTCCATTAACATCTGCTCTGACCTGCGCTGATTCCATCGTTAGCCGTACATACATCTCAAAATCTCCCTAATGACAAAAAGTAGTAATGGGCGTCTGCTATGCTTGTTTAGTGAGTCGTAAATGAGCCAGTGGGACGATGTGTTTCTTCCCATCCAGCCCCCAGCTAAGTAATGGCCAGGAACTGGAAGAAGGGCAAGATGCACCAGACAGTAGCTCAAAGCGTTGGCTCTTCTAATCACAACTGATTAAAAGGCAAAAATATTTGCATGCACATACTGTTTTCCATTACCTTAAAAAAATCTCAGTAATTACTTCTCCATCATCATTTTGGGAGAATGTTAACAACATTGATCTTTGATCCTTTAATTATGGTAAGCCCTGATAGGAGGATCCTAGGGGCTGGCTCCTCCCCACCTCCGCTCCTCTACTCAGACCGGCCTGCCTGCCTCACCTGTGTCGGGCTTCCCTCTGCGGTCCCCAGTCCCCAAGGCCGTTCCAGCTCAGCAGGGATCCCCTGACCTGAACTCCTTTCATGTCTTATATTTTAGCAAATGCTGACTTTTTGTGAAAGAGAAATTTGAGAAGAAAACACACCCATAATTCTTTTACTGTACAAATTCGTGCTCCCATTTGCTCACATCCACTACCATTTTCATTACTAATGTGGACGTTTTACGTGGTCTCTCCCTAGTGCACATATCAAATTGTTTTTACATCTACTCGGCACTATTTTCTCAAGATCTAGGTCTCTGAAAACGACCACTGTATGAACTGCATCATATCATTCATCTTCCATCCCACAGGTGCAGACATGGTTCTTCCCCCCCCGTGTGAGCACTCACAGGTAAAGCCACCAGGGTCTCCAGGAATGCGAGCCTACCTCTTGTTGTTGTTACTAAGCTTTCCTTTGTTTCTACAGTTGATTTCCTCGTGGGGTCCATGGGGATGAATAGCTTTGTGGGTCTTGATTCCCAAGGAGGCCATGCAGATCTGCCATGACACCTGTGGCACCTGGGTGGGTTTCCCAAGGACAGAGCTGGACAGAGCCAGGTGACAGGCTCACAACAGGTGACTCGCAGGGCTCTGTGTCGGATAGGGTCCCCTCCCTTGTGCATGGCCAGGCCCTGGGGACTGAGTTCTAATAGGCGGGTGACAGGACAACGGCTCTTCCTGGGGCATTCCATGTCTCTCTCCCACCCTCTGCTGCTCCAGGGGCACTGCAGCTCCTTTGTCAGGCTGTGTGACAGACAGCGAGTCTCAGAGTGCTGGCACGAGCCACTAGCCTCCCTGCCTCAGGCCTCTGACCATGCAGCCCACTGAGAATCTACCATCTGGGGCCCGATGCACATCCCTGTTCCTCATGGCCCATGACTTCCTAGTTCTCTGTGTCCCAGACTCAGGGCAGGCCACGCTCCTCAAAGGCCTTCCAGGATGGCTGCTTAGTGAGCTCAGGGTCAGGGAACCAGATGCAAGGCCACCGTGAGCCCCAAAGGATTACTCCCAGGGGCCCACAGTGCTGCCAAGGGCGGCCAGGAGCTGGTGGGTCTGGGATCTGTGGGCAGGCTTGCCCCCAGTGGGTCACTGGCCATCCTGCTGCTGTGCCCCTCCCATCTGCTTTCCAAGGGTCCAGAAACTTGGCTCTGCCTGGAGCCACACGATAGCTTTGAGACCTAGTAGGGGGAAGAGAAGAGGTGCTTGGTGGAGACAGCCCTTTCCTGAGCCGTACCCCAGTGACCTAGGACCCTCCCAGGTGGTTCTGAGCCAGGCAGGCAGAGCCCTGCAGTTCTGTCCTCTCTGTTACTCATCTCCGTGCAGCGGCTCCAGGTGGGGGCTGACGCCCAGCCTCATGCGGTGGGAGGAGCCGGGGTCTGGCTGGGGCCTCCAGACCCATCCAGAGAAGTCCTGTTCCTCCGGGCCTGGGGACATGGCATGTACATACATATATGAGTTCACATGTACACACACACATATGCACAGAAGAGACTCCCAGGTGTGTCCCTCATCTCTCAGCTCTCCCCCCACAGGGCTCATCCTAGCTTCTTTGTGCAGGGGTCATGTCTAAGTTCTGAGCTCTCCGAGTATGCTCCAGAAGGCACCTTAAGGAGCTGGGGCACCCGTCGGGGCAGTCCTGTTCCTTCCCCCTGCCATCAGGCTCTCTGCAGCCAGGTCTCCCTTCTGGGCCTGCATTTCAGAAGGACCAGTGCCCACTGTTCTGAGGCCTCTCTCCATGTGTGACCTTGGCATGTGCCTGCCCTGGCTTGCCTTAGTTTACCCACTGGTGCAGTGAGCAGGTGAATCAGAGCATCGCCAGGGGCTACTGTAGCCTTGCTGGTGGAGGACTTAATGCCGCATTGCCCCAGTCCTGGCCAGTTCTCCCTGCATCCTGCAGTTTTCTGACAGTGGGGGGCATGTAGCACTTGAAGTGTTCTCACATCCTGCTATTTTTGCAAGAGGCCTGAACACAGTTGTTAAAAATAGAAATAATGAGGGAAAACAGCCACTTCTGACCTTGAGTCATGAGGCAAGGACAGGATCCCAGTATCCTCTCTGGCTCCTGATGATAAATGATCATCGCACTGTGTCTGTCCTTAGCTAATTTATCCTTGGCCCAGAGAGAAGTTTCTGCAATTTTTTTTTTTTTTAGAAAGCTGGAAGTTTCTCAAAGCCTAACAGCTTCACCTGCTCTATTCTGTGTGTTCTTTGCTGGAATGCCATGAGGAGCCTGTTCCCTCTGCTCTGGGGCATTGCCAGAAGCCAGCATGGTCTGGCAGACCTGGATGTGCTGGGGTGATGCCCCTGCTCCTTCAGTTGTGTCTGGCACCCTGCAAAGGGGCCCAGGAGGCAGGGCCTTCAGCACCCTCGGGGAGACTGTGTCAGAGGAGCTGCCAGGGCAGGGTACATGGTGTTCCAGGCCCCCATCCTCTGGCTACTGTGTGTACAGTGTCTCTTGAAGATGCAGAAGTCCGCACCTAAAAAGCCCTTACCATCTGCCCCAGGTGGCTCCTCCTGAATCCAGGAGGATTCAGGTGTTGGTGTCTCTTTTAACTCCCCACACACACACTGCCACTCCCTGCGCTGTGCTGTCGCTCTTCTGATCAAGAGGAACCCCAAGTGCCCAGGACCCTCAGAGTGTGGAGGAGGTCATCAGAGAGGCTGGCACCCACCTCCAAGGCACCCAGAAGTGAGGGCAACACTGCCTCCCCTGGCCTTGGGCTCATGGTCTGCACTGATATCAGCTTCAATTTTTAAATTCCAGGTTGAGCTCACAATGGTGCCTTCTGTCTTCAGAGTGCTAACCCAGGAGAGACTCAGGAGGAGACAGACTAAGACTCTCCTGGAAGTTACAGGGAATGCATGCACAGCTGGGCAGCAAGAGGTATGTCCCTGGTCCACAGGGGTGCCTGGCCCATGTTAGCGCCCCAGTGTGTTTGGAGAGGGGGCAGGTTAGCCTTTTGTCCTTTATAGTTTACTTCCAAGGGAGGTTTTGGGTCCATGACAGGAGCTACCTAAACAGTTGCTTCTGCCCATCTGCTGTGTCTGCTGGGACATGGACATGGATGTCAGCCTGCTGTCATACCTGCCTTGCATTTGTGTCCATTCACAGTTCTCAGTGTAGTTCCTGCTGGTGCAAAGAGTGGGTGTGGAGCTGTACATATATGTGAGTACACAAACAAGTGCATGCACATATATGTGAACATACATGCACACGTGTGTGACATACATGCCTGTGTGTGCACCTACCTATCTCCTGTGTGCACATAGGCACATGCCAGGTGTGGAAAGGCATGTGCAGGTGTGTGTGTATATCTGCCCAGCCACTCAGTAACACTCTGCCCTAATTCCCTGGGGCCTTGCAGTTGACAGCTGGCTGGTAAGCCCTGGTGAGCCCGTCCTTGGCTGGCTCGTCCTGCTGCTATGACAGAGTAGCTCTTATACTAGATGAGTAGGAGCTGAACTGCCTACTGGGGATTCCCAGGGTTTCTTCTGGTCCACCAGGAAGATGACAGCATCGAGACAACCTCATACAACAGTGATGCCTAACGTTTGCATAATCTTTCATGTCATTCAAAATAATGTAAAAATAGTAGCACAGAAGATTAAGTAGCACAAAGTCACACAGCAACTTAGCAATGCCGCTGCTCCCAGGAAGCCTGCCCTCACTGCACAATTTAACTGGCCAGCTTTCAGAGAACTTGTGACTCCGACAGAGGCCCAGGGAAACACACCCTGTGCCAGTGAATTCCTCCATGTTCCAGGAAATGATGCACAGCCATAGGCTCAGCGGCTTCCCAGGTAGGGTATGGCATGCACCCCCAGAGCCCGAGGGTGGGTGACCTGGCTGCCAGTGGGCTCGAGGGATAAGGGGAGGTTAGAGGGCCCAGGGGTCTTGCTTTGAAACCAGCATCAGCCACTCAAGATGGACAGGAAGGTGGTGCCAGGTGGGTTCAGAGGAAGACAAAAGCCTGCAGTCCTTGTGGGGCTGAGAGTCTGTGACGTGACCCCAGTGAAAACTGCTCTGTGCTTTGTGCCCGGCCAACCCTCCTGTCTGACTCCACAACCACCACGCCAGAACAGCACATCAAGAGCACACACGACCACACGCGCCTGGGCCCAGCCAGCCTCATGGGCAGTGCCCAGTGCTCTGTCTCCACTGGGCTCTCTGGGAGGGCCGCTCCCTGACGGCTCACAGGCAGACATGGTCCAGTGGAGGGTGGGCCTGAGTGGCCTCCAGCAGCATGGGCTGGGTACTCCCGGGAGTGTCCAGGGCCTGACACTGTCACCACGTTAGCTCCTGCCTTTCCTCCTCGGGACAGGGAGGCCCCACCTGAGGCCCTACGGCTACTAGACACCCCTGCTATGCTGCCTTCACTGGTTTCCTCACTTTCAAAACCTCTCCACTTCCAGAGCACAGCCCAGCCACCCTTCACGGGCTCCTCTAATGTGGCAATGCCTCCCATGGGCAGGAACCCTGTTCTGAGCACCTTTGGGCATGCCACACTTCACACACCTGCTCTCCAGGCCTGCTTAGCTTGTCATTTCCTCCTGTGCCCAGAAGAGGAAACTGAAGCTTTGTGCCACAGAGCTGGGCTGTAGGGTCTGGGGTCCCCTTACTGCCCAGGACTCCAGGTAGCCTCAGAGAAACGCCAAGATTGGCTGTCCCACAGGCCACGCACCTGTTCCCTCCATCCATCCACGGCAGAACCTGCAGCACCAGGCCAGTACAGGCTGGCACAGAGGTGGCAGCAGAGGGATGTGAGGAGAGCCCTGGCAGAGGGGCAGTGGGCACACGGGCACACGCCTGGGTGTGAATCCCAGCAGCAGCAGCATGCCCAGATTTTAGAAACGGGCAGATTTGTTGGGATGAAACCCCCACATTGCTCCTCACTGTAACTGTGAAGATTCTGAGGATGGGGGGCCAATGCTCTTCCCCTCCGCAAAGGTCAGCCAGTGAAGAAGGGTCTGCCACTCACCCTCCTCATCGCCTGGACCCACCTTGTGGTGTCTCTGCTTCCACACCTCCTGCTGGGGATGGGGCCCACCTGTGGGTGTCGTGGTGATGAAATGCAGTGGGGGACTCCTGGCACCAACACTCAGCATGTGCTCGGTGGCACTAACTCCTGGGTCCCCAAGTCCCCGGCCTCCATGACCCTGGCCCCCACAGTCCCTCTGCCGGCACCTTTCTCAGGCTTGAGCCCTCCTCCAGCACTGCTGGTCTCAGCTCCCTTGTGAAGAGGCCAGGCCAAACCACGCCCAAGTGAAGATGGTGGGCCACCTGAACAGTCAGAGAGAGTGGGGAGGCAGGAGCCAGAGGAGCAGGGAGAATCAGGCCCTGCAGGGAGGGGTCCCAGGAGCAGGGACACTAGAGAGGTCTTGAGGCATGTGTAGGAGCTCACAGGAAGAGGGCCAGTGTGTCCCCAAGAGGACTGGGTCTGCTTTGGCATCCTACCAGGATGCTTTCCCGAAGCTCTTGCACCAGTAGTTCAGCAAATTCACCCTTTATGATTTTTCTGTTTCTAGTGGCCAGAGCTACAGGGTTGTTAGGCTTTCAGAAATATGGTGCTTTAAAGCCCATGTCCCAGATCAGTGTCCTCCAGAGAGCAGGCCTGTCTGTGTGGATGAGGGAGATCCTGGCTGTGGTGCTGAGAGGGCCCAGCCACACGGGAAATGCCACCCCCAGCCCACCCCAGGGAGGGAAGGGGCAGGGAGAGAAGTAGGACAGACCCCCAGGTCAGGGGCAAACCCAAATGGCCTGAAGAGCCCCCCTGAGCACACTGTCCCTCTTTACTCTGCTGAGGCCCCGCAGAGCCCTGAGTCAGCAGCACTGGGAAGGCCCCAGCTCCAATGCCTGCATGTGGGTGCCCTTGAGCAGCCGAGGCCCTGGGTTTCTGAGGAGCAGGCACAGCTCTTGATATGAGACCCAGAGTGAGCAGGGTTTGACCTGGAAAACCACTGCTGCTGACACATGCAGCACCCTGGGCCCGAGGGACCTCATGCTTGACTGGTGGCCCCCTCCCTGGCCTTGGTGGTCTCTGGGGGTTCCAGGGTGGTCTCCTCACCACAGCAGGAGTGGCCAGAGGCTTGCAGATGGTGCAGGGTGGGCGACTGTCCCTTTCCTGGGTGGGGCACCGGCAGGGGTGTGGGGCGGCAGGGTGGGGGTGTGGCCCGCAGTGCTCTCATCCTGCAGGAGACTCCTCTGGGGTGCCCTCTGCGTTCTCCCTCTGACTCCCAGCCTCCCTGTTACCCTGTCCTGCTGTCCTGCGTCTGGGTGCTTCCGTCCCTCATGCTGTTTACATAGTGGGTGATCAGGATGCGGCCAGTCAGGCAGGGCCAGTCCCCTTCTAATTTATGGTGAATTTGGGCCCTGGGATGAGATTTGACCCCAGAACATTTCCTGCACTACTTCTACAACAGACTGAGGACTTGTGTCCCCCAAAGCAGATCCTGAAGCCTGACGGGGAGGGGCCATTGGGAAGTGCCTGAGTCGGGAGGGTGGAGCCTCCGTGAGTGGGATCGGTGCCCTTGCGTGAGAGCCCAGAGAGCTCTTTTGTCCCTTGGGCCATATGAGGACACAGTGAGCAGACAGCCCTCTAGTGACCAGGCCCCAGGCCCCAACCAGACACCAGATCTGCAGTATATCAGATGCCCAGCCTCCCAACTGGACTTCTGGTGTCACCAAAGCAGCCCAGATCCTCTGTGGCCACCATATGGGGAGCCCCACTCAAGGCCAGATGTACAGGCTCTGACTACATGCACCACTCAGGTGCTCACGTCTACAGGAGACTGCCAGTCCCGTTCCCACAAATGACAATGCCAAGATGTGATAAAAGCCACCTGTCAATCATAGAATTCAACGTCGCCTTTCTGTAAAGCCATAAGCCATCTGGGCCTCAGCCAAGAAATGGCCTATAAAATCCTGAGTAATGACCTTTCCAATATAAAGAATATTTTAGGCAGCTGTTTCCAGGATTTATCTGTGTGAGTAATTTTATGCCCCAACCTATTACGTGCTCAGTGTCTGATGCCCTGTTCAGCAGCTCCTACACATTTTATTAATTCACATCTTCATTTGGGCATTATAAATATAAATACAGGTAGAATAGAACATAGTGCAGGGAAGACTCAATGTGGGATTCATTTTGTGTCATCTTATGGATTCCTTGCATTGCTTGTACTGAATGTGATTAAGGCACAAAGTAAGCTAGGCCACTTGTAATAAAACCTAGATTAAGCATGGAAATGGGTTGGTTCCAACTTGGGGGTGATAGAAGGACTCCCTCACCATTGCCCGTTCTGTTCGGAACAGTAGGTGACGAGTGACAGGTTTTGCCTAGGTTCTCTGTCCCTATCCAGTGTATCCGTAGTTCCAGGTTATCACATCCTCTTTACCTTACCTTTATAATTTTGAGATTGCAGGGTACAAATGAGGAGTTGAAATGAAGCAAAATGCAGTGGTATTTTGTTCCCTCTGATTTTTCAACAAACCTAAGTAGATAAAAGATTTCATTAAATTTGTTTTTCTTCTATATATGATACTTCATGCTGAGAAAAACAAATGAACTTGATAAAGGCTTTCCAAGAAGCCTATCTTACATGCAGAGAGAATGATGGGAAACTGTCCTTAAATTGTGTTATTAATCTGTATATGTCTGTCTGCTTACTACACATCTACATACATCCTGGGTAACTATGCCTATTTAGCCTGAACTATCTCTTCAAACATTAATTTATAAACTTCCATCAGTAGGGAATGCCCCTCTGTTCTGTTTTGTTTTTTTCTGGCTTATCAATATTTTATTTAATGGTTCATACTTTTTTGTCTTATCTGAAAAATCATTTTTTAAATTTTGGTATCATTAATCTACAATTACATGAGCAACATTATGGTTACTAGACTCCCCCTCCCATAATCAAGTACCCACCCCATACCCCATTACAGCCACTATCCATCAGTGTAGTAAGATGCTACAGAATCACTACTTGTCTTCTCTGTGTTATACTGCTTTCCCAGTGCACTGCCACCCCTGCTGCCACACCCCCTACAATTTGTGTGTGAATCGTAATGCCCCTTTTTCCCACGTATCCTTCCCTTTCCTCCCATCCTCCCCATTCCCTTTCCCTTTGGTAACTGTGAACCCACTCTTGGGTTCTGTGAGTCTGCTGCTGTTTTGTTCCTTCAGTTTTTGCTTTGTTCCTACACTCCACAGATGAGTGAAATTATTTGATGCTTGTCTTTCTCCATCCTGCTTATTTCACTGAGCATAATACCCTCTAGCTCCATCCATATTGTTGCAAATGGTAGGATTTGTTTTCTTTTTTTGTTGTTGTTTGTTTTTTTATTTTATTTTGGTGTCATTAATCTACAATTACATGAGGAACATTATGTTTACTCAATTCCCCCCATCACCAAGTCACCCCACAAACCCCATTATAGTCACTGTCCATCAGTGTAGTAAGATGACATAGAACCACTACTTGTCTTCTCTGTGTTGCACAGCCCTCCAGTACCCCACCACCACATTATACATGCTATTCATAATGCCTCCTTTCTTTCCCCCTCCCTTATCCCTCCCTTCCCACCCATTCTTCCCAGTCCCTTTCCCTTTGGTAACTGTTAGTCCATTCTTGGGTTCTGTTATTCTGCTGCTGTTTTGTTCCTTCAGTTTTTTCTTTGTTCTTATACTCAACATATGAGTGAAATCATTTGGTACTTGTCTTTCTCCGCCTGGCTTATTTCACTGAGCATAATACCCTCTAGCTCCACCCATGTTGTTGCAAATGGTAGGATTTGTTTTCTTCTTATGGCTGAATAATATTCCATTGTGTATATGTACCACATCTTCTTTATCCATTTATCTACTGATGGACACTTAGGTTGCTTCCATTTCTTGGCTATTGTACATAGTGCTGCTATAAACAAAGGGGTGCATCTGTCTTTTTCAAACTGGGCTGCTGCATTCTTAGGGTGAATTCCAAGGAGTGAAATTCCTGGATTAAATGGTATTTCTATTTGTAGTTTTTTGAGGAACCTCCATACTGCTTTCCACAATGGTTGAACTAATTCACATTCCCACCAGCAGTGTAGGAGGGTTCCCCTTTCTCCACATCCTCCCCAACTTTTGTCTTTTGGATGGTGGCAATCCTTACCAGTGTTAGGTGATATCTCAGGGTGGTTTTAATTTGCATTTCTCTGATGATTAGCGATGTGGAGCGTCTTTTCATATGCCTGTTGTCCATCTGAATTTCGTCTTTGGAGTACTGTCTGTTCAGCTCCTCTGCCCATTTTTTAATTGGATTATTTGCTTTTCGTTTGTTGAGTTGTGTGTGTTATTTATATATTTTGGATGTCCACCCTTTATCCTATACGCCATTTATTAATATATTGTCCCCTACCGTAGAATGTCTTTTTATTCTACTGATGGTGTCTTTTGCTGTACAGAAGCTTTTCAGCTTGATATAGTCCCACTTGTTCATTTTTGCTTTTGTTTCCCTTGCCTGGGGAGATATGTTCATGAAGAAGTTGCTCATGTTTATGTCCAAGAGATTTTTGCCTATGTTTTTTTCCAAGAGTTTTATGGTTTCATGACTTACATGTAGGTCTTTGATCCATTTTGAATTTACTTTTGTGTATGGGGTTAGACAATAAAGCAGTTTCATTCTCTTACATGTAGCTGTCTGGTTTTGGTAACACCAGCTGTTGAAGAGGCTGTCATTTCCCCATTGTATATCCATGGCTCCTTTACCGTATATTAATTGACCATATATGTTTGGGGTAATATCTGGACTCTCTATTCTGTTCCACTGGTCGGTGGGTCTGTTCTTTTGCCAGTACCAAATTGTCTTGATTACTGTGGCTGTGTAGTAGAGCTTGACATTGGGAAGCCAGATACCCTCTGCTTAACTCTTCCTTCTCAGGATTGCTTTGGCTATTTGGGGTTTTTTGTGGTTCCATATGAATTTTAGAACTATTTGTTCCAGTTTGTTGAAGAATGCTGTTGGTATTTTGATAGGGATTGCATTGAATCTGTAGATTGAGTAAGGTAGGATGGCCATTTTGACAATATTAATTCTTTCTAGCCAAGAGCATGGGATTAGTTTCC